GGCTATGCTGCACTGAATCAGCTGTTTCAAGATTTCATGTTCAATATGGGTAGTCATTGCTGCTCCATGGATATGTGGCTGGCACAGGGGATTGGTAATGGAATAAGTCAGCCTTTCCGCTCCTGGCCAGGTCTGCAAGGACAGCAAACTGTTACCTAGGACAGCAGGCAGGTGGCAAAAGGAGCTGGTGGATCTCTCTCCTGGCTCAGAGGACGAATACCCAGTTCACAAAAGCCACCACCATCCAGACTAACTGACACCTCCTTGGCAGGATCAGTTGAGAGACCAAGGATTGGAAGGGTCCAGGAGACTGAGCTACTGTCTCACTGCAGGTCAGAGTAGAAGCCTCTTGGGCTGGGGAGGGCAGAAGTGGCCCTGCTGCTGTCTGTACTACACCTACAGTCCGTTTTCTAGGGCTGACAATCAGGAATCTTTCATGAGCAATAAGGGCCCTATCGTTTTCCCAATGAGGACATAGGGAATCGAGCCATTCTTTAAAACAGGAGCAGAATTGGGCTTAAAATACTTCCTCTTCTCTCTTCTCCTTTATTTTCTTCCTTCTTTGGAGGGTTTGTGGGAGAGTTGAGCAGCATCCGCACACCGTGTTATGGGACACGTGATATGTCACAGTTTTGAGAGCATAACCAAGCATCCGTGTGCCAGCAGAGCGGAACGCTAGCGGTTATCACCACAGCACTAATTACCATAACACTGCACATTCAGGTAGCTCTTAGTATTCGGGGTTAGATTTAAGCGGAGGAAAATTTGCCTCCGTTAACAAGCATTGCTCAAAGGTACATGCGGTGGGAGGGTTATATTAGCTGGCCCTGTGTGATGACCTCAAGCAAAGAAAACCTTTTGCCTGGAACAATATATTTATATGGCTATTTTAACCCTGCCCAGGTAGATGATTTACACTGATCAAAGTTGAATAGTCAAAGGTCTGGGTCCAAGGCTGCAAAGCCTGGGAACGTGGAATGACAAAATTGACTGTGTTCAGAGTTGTGCCTTGTAACTGGAGGATTCATAAATATGCATGCAACCAGATCATCTGTCACTTTTCTGATTTCTTCGCTACTCTTTTGATTTGCAGGAGTCCTATAGCTTGTGCCACGCACTTTGAAATGACAACAATTTTTGGAAAGCCGGAGGAGGCAACGTGCTCTGGAAGAGATGAGCTACCCTTTTTTCTGCTTTTAATAGATGATGTTTTGTTGGGCTATATTTAAGCTCTACTGAGCGGTACATCATTTTGCGTAATATAAGCATCATGAAATTACAGGCTTCTCCAGGTTCTGCAGATGTAGCCATTGCTATAAAACTACCTATTAGCCAATAAACACAGCTATCCCTAGGGCTTCCCCTACTTCTTAATAAATTGGGCATTCCCTGCGACTCCTCAGTTGTCTGTGACTTGATCCCCTGGAAAGGGCAGTCCTGATTTACAAACCCAAACTTCTGTTTTCCTGATGCAGACAAACTCTGGGTTTTAGCTGCATGCATCCCCAGTTGCCACCCATCCCAGGTTGATAATGGCTGGAAGTGATTCCTGGAGCTGGGCAAATTTTTTGGCTGAAACTTTTTTCAGCGAAAAATGCAGATTTGGTGACACCAAAACATTGCACAAATTTGTCTAAATTTTTGCCAAATTATTTCAGTTGGGAAAAAAAACCCTCTGAAAATATTGAAACATTGTTCTGACATTTTCCAAACAAAACATTGATTTTTTGGGTTCAAAATAACTTTTTATTTAGCAACTTCCTTTTTTTTTTAGAAAAATGTAAAATGTAAACAATTGCTCAAAATCCAAATGAAACATTTTGTTCCAGGTCAAACAAAATGTTTCATTCAACCTGACATGATTTTTGTTGGTCTTTTCAATTTGCCAAAAATTTCAGTTTTTTGGGATCAACCTGAAATAGTTGTTCGATAGTCCAAGGCTTTGTCTACACACTAGATTTGTACTATTCTAACTATACGTGTATATTTAAAGCAATACAACCCACTTTGTGCCTTGTTTTCCCCATCTCTAAAACGGGGAGACGACACTGACCTCCTTTTTAAAATGCTTCGAGATCTATTGCTGAAAAGCACTATGTAACAGCTAGGTGTTATTAATTAGTTAATTATTATTATACTGGTATTTTTGTGCTTACCTATATATAGTCATTCCAGTATGGGAGGGGGAAAAAACATCCACACTAGGGCTTGTGCCAGTAGAACTATAGTGGTAAAAAATGACATCCTTCACCAAGATCATAGTTATCCAAGGAAAGCTGGTCTTTAGGAGCAAATTTCTACGCCACAAAGCCCACCCAAACTGGTAGTAGTTGGCAGACTCGCCAGAGGCAGCAAGGACTGAATGTACTGTGGAACTCCTCTGTCAATAGCTCAGCTATATCCCCCTCCCTGCTAAACCCAGGGTTGTGAGTTCAATCCTTGAGGGGCCCACTTGGGGATCTGGGGCAAAAATCAGTACTTGGTCCTGCTAGTGAAGGCAGGGGGCTGGACTCGATGATCTTTCAATGTCCCTTCCAGTTCTAGGAGATGGGATAGCTCCATTAATTATTATTATAGCTGGAACTGGTTTATACTGTGGAAACATGGGCAGAATGTGGTGGATCAATGCCCATGTGGCTGCTACAGCCAGATTTGGGCTGGGCACCGTAACCCTATTCTTTGGTGTTGACTTCAGTGGAAGGAGAGGTCAGGCTAAGGCACCGGCTAAGACCTTGTTGCGGATGGTTTGGGAGCAGTGAGATAGGATTTTGACTCCAAACGAATAGCAGCTGTGAACATGTGATCCGTCCTTATATGGGCAAGTGGGCTAAAAGTGTCCACTGGAGCTGTGTAATCTAACTGCCCACAAGCTGCCACAGGGAATGTAACAAGGGGAGTTTTGTTTTGGATTTCGACCTGACTCACCATAAATGTTTCCACAGGGAAACTCTCAGAATGCCTCGTCTGGACATCTGGTTTTATTAAAAAGTGACCCTGTTTTGTATTGTGTTGGAGTTCTGACAAGCTGATGCCGGGTTATAAACAAATTTTCCCCCCCCTTCCTCTAGTTTTGATAGCTGGCTCCTCAGGCTTGGTAGCCGTGCTTGAAGGAGAGATCTTAAATCTGACAGGAGACTAGAACCTGTATTCCCATTTCACACTCCAGAATCCTAAAAGAAGCTGCTCCTTTAACTTCTGCATACTGCAAACTCTCTCTGACCAGAGAAGGGCTGTGGTGTGGGAATAGCCAGCGGGTGCCCAAGTGACAGAGGGAGATCTGTGCACAATTTTTGCAGCAAAACATGAAATTCATCTGCTTCTGTGTTTTGTCACAAATGCAAAACTCACACCCTGGGTTCAAGTGGCTTTGCTAAGGTCCCCCCGCCTTTTGAAAGAACTGGGCTTAGTTATGGGAGAACCTGGGACGGTTTATTTAGTTTTGCACTGAAATCACATGACCTTTGCAGTTTTCCTAAGGTGTTGCCATGTCCCCCGCCTGCACGTGCAACCATTGTTAAAGGGCAAAGAAGGGCGGAGGTCTGGCATAACTGTTTGCATGCAAATTTGTGGGAACAAATTTTGTAGGTTCAAATTACCCCTGGCAAAGGGAGGCCATTACATCAGAAAAATTGGCCCTGATTGTTACACCTGATTTTCCTGGGTGTTAAGAGAACCAGGTTGTGCCTTGAGTAGGAACTTTATCCTCCTCTTGAAGCTAGGGACTGAGTTTAATGCATTTTTAAAAAATTCAAGCAGAACCAGGCCTTCACATCCAACCAAGTGTTTTACAAATTGATATGTCTCCAGCCCAGTTTTAACACCATTGGCTGCGCACCAGCTTTGCTGAAACAAGCAGTAAAATCTTTCTAAAGAAACTAACCTTCAAAGGGAAAACAAAATGTACCAGAACATCAAAACGGCTATTTATATAGAACACAACAACTCCGGCCCCTTTCAAAACACTTCATTGGCCTCTGGTCCCCATGGCAAACCCAGTTACCGGGGTGCTCTTTAATCAGAAAGTGAATTCTGACGTCTCTTTCATCTAGTCAAGAGCCCTAAAAAATAACACTGTTGAATAGATATTGATCCCACTAGCTCTGTCACTCACACCTTACCGCTGGAAATTATTATTGTGGTAGAACCTTGTTAATCTACAATCAAAACGGAGAGATGGGCCACTCTTCTCTGCAAAGATTTCATAGCAGATGCTGTTGGGAAGAAGGTGTCATTATTTTTTGTTTTAAAAAGTCCCACTTTTAACTGGTGTGCAATGAAATATTATTATTTGTATGGCAGTAGTGGGCAAGAGCCTATGTCATGGAGCGCTGTACAGCCACACAACAAAAAGATGGACCCGCAAAACTAATTTAAACTAAACTGCAGCCGTCAGAATGAATCAGTCACATGCCACGTTCTCAGTCCAGTTCCTAGGGGCCAGGTGCCCATCTCCCCCCCCCCCAAAAAGCATCATATTCAACCCAATTGGCCCCCGGGTTGCCTGTCTAAGAAGAGAGACTGAGGATTTATTGGGCCAAGGAGCCTAAGCCCTCCTCTTACACCAGGGTAGTATGGAGGTGGGGGGTTGGGTGGACGGGGATTTGAGGCCTATCATCAGAGCAGTATGTGGGAGAAGCTGCAGTATTGCTGTTGGTTAGCTTTTATAGCAATGCCCATTCATAGAGCTCACAGCGCTTGACAAAAATGGGTCATTATCATTGTGACAGATGGGGAAACTGAGGCACAGAGCGGCGACGTGACTTGCCCGACATTACACAACACGTCACTGATAGAACTAGACATAGAACCTAAGGTCTCTAGACTCCCATTCAAGGCCAGTCCTGTTCTATCGCTAGGCAACATTGCCACTCTTCCTTGTCTGTGCTGTGCCTGCTTCTCTGGAGAAACAGGAATTCAGTCGCTGTCAATCTAGCACTTTCCACTAGCACTAAATAATAAACAAACAAACAAATAAATAAATAAATAACCCCCACACTAAATAATTAAACAGGTTATATTATAGGACAATCAGCTATTTGTTAGTCATTTACTGTCAGAGATGAAAACTGGGGGGAGTGGAAACCAGGTATTTCTGGTTTTGTTATTTGTGTGTGCGTGCGTGCGTGCATGAAATTTAATTAAAACACATGCTAAAAAAGTAAGAGATTATAAATATGATCAGTGAAATCAAGCTGTGGTAAACTTCCCTTACTGCATAGCTTTCACTGGAAAAAGTTGCCTTGTAAAGCACGAGTAAGGTAGGGAAAAAAGCCCAGCACATGGTTTTAGGCAGGAACAGGTATCCAATACAGCTTTCATTTGTCTGTGTTCTATTAGCATCTGTTCACCTTGCACTCCGGCCCTGACCCTTCCACCCAAGTCTCTTAGATTGTGCTCTGCAACTAAGCAATTCTAGTCCCCAAAATTCTGATGGAGGCTGTGTCAAGGACATGACTGAATGGCCGCACTGAAATCCACACTCAATGCATGAGTCTTGTCCAAGATCCATTAAGATGTTGATGCCCAGGCACATTTTTTGGAATGTTCTACTTGCTCAATACCATGCAGTCGACACATCCATTCTCCCATTTAAAATGTAATCTGAGTTCACATGATAGCACACCATCCCTCATAACCCCCATCAGCAACGACAGAGCCCTTAGAATTTATAAAACAGGCATATGATCTTGGTATTATAAAGAGAAACCGCCTGATGAGTTGAGATCTATCATCTGAGCCTTTGAAGATCATGACTTATGAATGAAGATGAAGAGCAATCACTTATTGCTGGGTTTGGTGGACATACTTTCTGGTCTCCCTCTGCCACGTACACACTATCTACAAAGGGAAAGATAGAAGATCCGTTTGTTTGACTTGCATGGGACGGGGTGGATTGGAAATGACATTTACCTCTTGAGCAACACTTTGGCTTAGAATCATAGAATATCAGGGTTGGAAGGGACCTCAGGAGGTCATCTAGTCCAACCCCCTGCTCAAAGCAGGACCAATCCCCAACTAAATCATCCCAGCCAGGGCTTTGTCAAGCCTGACCTTAAAAACCTCTAAGGAAGGAGATTCCACCACCTCCCTAGGTAACTCATTCCAGTGCTTCACCACCCTCCTAGTGAAAAAGTTTTTCCCAGTATCCAAAAAAAGTTTTTCCTAATATCCAAGCTGGAGACTGGCTCAACTTGCATTTCATTTATGAAGAGCTGACTTAGAAGACAGCAAAAAATAGCCTTTAGCTACTAGAACATGTGCGAAAGAGGAAGGAAAAATCGATTTGTATTTTAAAGATAGAATAAGGGCAGCCTTCTCTCTCAAAATGGCGTTGGTTTGAGTATATGATTTCTTTAATCAGTATTTAGTTTGTTAATTACTTTTATTGGCAGTTAACCACCTTACGGTCTTAGTAGAACATCTGTTCCATGATTAGAAAAAAAAATATTCCTCAACTCTTGCTGAGTGCAATTATTTTTGGATGCAAGTGGAAGGCTTTAGAATCATTAACAAGATAAAATGCTAATTGTTTGTAGAGTGTTTTTTTTAGTTACTTTTAAATAGTAAGAGAAGCCCCATTTATTTATTATTATTATTTTGGGTTGCTATAAGACACTGTAGTAAAAAGAAACTGGTAAACGTCAGTGGTGTAGAGAGCACATGTAGCCTTGTAACTAGACAATAAACCGGATCCCGGGAGGAAGCGGGCAAGAGAAACTCCCACTGAAGTCACTGGGAGTTTGCAGTGCTCAGAACCTACTAATAAGAGCTTGTATATCAATCATTTCCTTAATGAGAATGCTGAGGGCTAGTACAGGGATGTCAAAGCACTTTACTCAAAGGATGAGCATTATTTAACAGAGGGAGAAGATGAAAGGCCTTGTCTTATGTCAGTGCCGGGAATAGAATTGCAGTCTTCTCTCAGCCTACTCACCACCCACTGGACCACAACTCTCTTCTTGAGGTTCCCTGCACTTCAGGTGACTGTTCTTGCTGCTTCTATTAGTGGCTTTGAAAGCAAACAAGACACCTCTGCCCAAACTAGAAACATACAGTATATCCTTATGAGCCAAACGGCATCTTAGCAGTAGAAAATCAACAGCATGTCATGTGGAAGGGTCCCATATATGCTGGGCCACACTGGTTGACTCCATTCTGCGAGCAAGAACGGTGCTCTGAATTACAAAGAGGAAACTGGACTGTGATGGATGTTGTTTGTTATTGTGGTTGCACATCTCGTTCTGGTGAGAACCATGCACAGTATACATTTGTAAATGTTAGCAGCAAGCTAAAGCAAGCCTATCGAACCAGGTAACGATGGATGGTCTTGGTTGAGAGTGGGAACTTCCTTTCCTTATTTGAGAATAGCCCAGCGCAATCTGACACATATTGGCCTTGGAGCCCTTCAGATGTTATTACTGGAACCAAGAAGAGAGACCGTAACCTTGACTGCATACAATTATACAGCAGGCCAGGTGTCTGCCCCTCAACAGATGGCAAATGGGCGTAGGGGATGGAGGTCAAGAGTTGGCCAACTGGTCACGCTCCAAAAAAGGTAAGATGGAGAACAGACCTGGAAGCCGACCATAACCACCACAGAAAGGTGGTAGGGGACTTGCGTGTTCTTATGGAAGAGCACCGTTGGGCCCCGCCAGCCAAGATGACCAGGGTTGGCGAATTGTCAGACCTGCCTTGTTTCCTAGACAGTGGGCTCAGGGAAGGGAGATTTTTGGGGTCCGGAACTAAACATTTTGGAACTTCAAACAAAGGTTGCTATCCAGCCTGGTTCTACGGAAGGAGGTTCAGGGCATGAGCAAGGCATCCAAATGTTGAGTTAAATCCCCCCGCCTCCAAACCTTCCCTGGAAATGCCCCCCTGCCTGCCGCTGCATGCTCTGCTTCTCCCTGATTCCAGTTGCTTTGTGAGGTTTATTGAGGACATTCACTCCTTTCTCACACATACACTCAATCTTTTTCTCTGCCATGGTCACAGAAAGCCAGGGTCACCTTAACTTTAGCAGAAAGTCAACAATAACCCGCTCTTTGGGCCATGACCTAACTGACCCTGCCTCCATGGGGAAACCGACCAGCGTCATTCTTGCAGCAGGCCATTCTGCAATAGCTCCTTCTGTGGACACTCTATTCTGGAATAAAAGGGACTTTTATTCTGGACTAGAGTGCACGTACTGGGAGCTATTCCAGAATGGTTTATTCTGCAACAACTATCCCAGTCAATTTCCCATGTACACAAGTGTCATGTCCCCGTGTAATCAAAATCCACCGCAGCTGCCTACGGGCACCTTTCACTTTGCTGCCATCAAAAGGGCTTGAAGAATTCAGACTTTAACTTTTTTTCCACTGTGCTCTTTGTTTACTTCCCTTGTTGAATGTCACCAGTGCGGTTGACAAATATTTTCTCCCTTTGGCAAGCGGAGCTGTCAGTAACTAACCTTGTGTGTGTGCGTGTGATGCCATGAGAAAAAAAATCAGGAAATACTTTGAACATGGGAACTCACTGTTAAAGGCGAGTAATCGTCCTGGCATGCCAGAGTGGATGCCACGTGCCAGGGTCTGCAGCAGTACACACTGAAAAGACAGGTAAAGGCAGTTACTTGCTCCTAACATCAACAAGGTGGAAAAGTAACTAGGGAAGAGATACAATACCTATATTGTACTAACAGAACGGGAGCATGCTGCCGCACACCAACTGCATTTTTTGCATTAGTTTGGAAGGTGCATGTACCACTGTACTCTAAAATCATACGCGCATGTTTTTGGATCAGATGAGGGGCAGCCAATTAAAGGTAGAATTGTGGTTTTAATGTCTTTAGTGCAACCCACTAAAGGGATTAAAGCCATAACTCCCTCTTAAATGTCTGTCTGTGAAAATTCTTATTCACTTCAATTTTCATCCCTGCTTCTTGATTCTCTACACAGGCACTTTAGCTGAGAGATGATCTTGGCTCCGGTCTCGCTCCCAGCCCTGGCTCCCGACCGCGGCTCCTGGGGGCAGGTGCGGACAGATGCCATTACGGGTTAGGGTGTTGTGACTTAAAAAGTTTGGGGACCACTAGTCTATGGGCTTGTCTACACATAAAACACCACAGCTGCACCACTGCAGCACTTCAGAGTAGACATGACCTACGCTAATGGGAGGGGGTCTCCCGTGGGCGTGGGTACTTCTCCTCCCTGAGAGGCGGTAGCTAGGTTGATGGAAGAATTCTTCTGTCGACCTACCCGGGGACTTAGGTCAGCTTAATAACGGTGCTCAGGGTGTGGATATTTCACACTTGTGACTGATGTATTTAAATCGACCTAATTTTCTAGCATAGACCAGGGCTGAATCTCTTACAGCTGCATTAAGATTCCGGTTGAGGCACAGTCAAATAACAAGCTCCCTCCAGAACCCCGGAGAAAAGTAGTTCAAGCAAAGCAGAGGCTGGCGTGGGCTGACCCGCTCTGCTAACGAACAGCTAAAGTCTAAAAGGTCCCTTACACCTGACAAAACAAACAGCCCACAGCAAGATTAAATGAGAGCAGCTCTGACCTTTCATACGCTGGCCAGCAACAAAGGAACCAGTTCAGAAAAGTGGCCTGGCAGGAATCATTGCTCTGTCTTTTCTAGGCAATGGCAGTTTTAGTTTTTCTCTTAAATCAACAGCGTGTCAAACGGAATGTAGCCCCCCGAGACCCAAACCAGCAGCATGTCCATCAGCAGAGAAGAGGAAGAAATGAACGCTCTTCCAGGCAGAGGAAACCGGGCTAAGGTTTACGTGCTGCCTTCTCATTGTTTTCCTGGAGAGTTCTTTGGTCCTGTGGTTGCAGAAAGGTCAAAATCCACAGCAGGATGAAACAAAACAAAACAAAACGAAGTGGAGTACGTGGGCAAAGGGATGTGGCTTTTGTTGTTCACAAGCTTCTTTTCAAATGACATGATTCACTCGAGGTCATTTTTCTGCAGAGAGCAGCTAAATGATGGAACCTGGCTAGTGCCCCAAGTCCAAGCTTGTATGCTGTAAGGAGCACGTATCTGGCTCTGCACTGACATGTGACTCCTCTACACCTCACTTCAGTGCTGTGCAATCAAAAAGCCACAACATGTGACCTTTCTACAGCACCTTCCAGTGAGGAGCTCAAAATCTCTTATGAACAATAGCTAATTTTCTTGTTATATTTCAATAGCACCAACAGGCCCCCACTCAAGACTGGAGCTCTATTGTGCTTGGAGCTGTACAAACACATAACAGAGAAAGCCTTTTCCCCAAAGAGCTTGACCGGGCATAGGAAGTATGACTATTCTCATTGTACAGATGTGGAACTGGGACACAGAAAGATTAAGTGACTTACCCTAGCTCACATAGGAAGTCTACGGCAGACCTGGGGGCTAGAGCCCAGATCTCCTTGTGCGCTTTAGTCTCAAGACCATCCTTGTTCTCTTGCAATGCACTCTTCCGCGCACCTTGGGCAGGCACGGTGGCATGGTGCATGATGAACAAAGAAGCATATTCTTTATACATATATTAAATATATATTAAATATTCTGCGAGAAGAGAAAAGCTTGGGCTGTGTTTATGCTTGGCAATACGGAGAGTAAGGGCTGTGGGCCACCGATCTGGTGACAGGAATACCTGACATGAACTTTCACCCAAAACGCTGACCCTTTTTGGAGGTTTTGGTTCCAGCTCACACATTTCAGTGGGAACTGGATGTGGAAATACAAGAGTTAAAATAGCACCAAAGAGGCGAAGTCTGTTATATTTCCAACTCAGCAGAGTCCAAAGTTTGCTTTTGAGGTTTCTGGTGCTGGGGAGACCTGGATACAGTCTGGCTAAGCATGCTGTCTGTTCGGGACTTGTGGGCACAGAACTGAAGCATTGGCACTTCACTTATATCCTCAAGAATTGTAAAACATTTTCCACCTGGTCTGCATCCGTCTCCTCAAGGCAATTGCTGTCTGTGCGAGCTTAGACACCCAAGTAGAATACCCTGCATTACTGAGCTACCGCCATAAAGGCTTTTCTAGTATAATGTAAGGAGGGATGTAATACCACCTTCAACACAAGTAGCTGCAGCAGAAATAGATCTTGTTGATATGCAGGGAGCGTCATTGAAATCCTAGTAAATTATATCCCAGGCTAAGCTATTCATTAAAGTCCCACGGGGGAATTTCAGTATAGCTAGGTACAGCATCATAGGAGATAGGTAGAACATTATAGTAATTTGAGTTCCTTTAAAAAGAGAAGCGTGGCTTAGCTCGTGAATCTGAATCTTAGGGCCTGGTAGTGTAAGTCAGTGTGCAATGAATGTTTCCATTTAAGAATACAAACTCACACTAATTCACTGCGGATAATTGCATATCACAATATGTCACTGATGATCTCTCCCATCCCCATGCTACGTGAGATTTTGCTGGGGATCTTTCATGCCATCCCTTCCACCCTAATTCCACCTGTGTCACGCATATGGGTGGTTCTGAAATGGACTCGTTCACTCACCCTGTTCAATGCCACTCTGCAGGGAATATTTCTTCCTGACCTCTGAGGTCTTCAGTGTATCCTCTGAAGCATGAGGCTTGAAAGCCCTTGTAATTTGCATCCCAGCTAGTGCAATAGTCGAGGCTGTTCTTATTCATATAAACGTCTAATCTGTCTATGAAAACTGGTCAGAGAACAAGTTTAACTGGCATCTAGAGAAGCCCTAGCTGTTTCTGCAAAGTGTGTAAATTGCCTGTTTCTATTAACTCACCGTAGTTTTCCTGTTAGGAATTGCATGCTGATTCAACATTTCTTTTTGGGGCTTACAGAACCCATAAGTCATATTCCAGGTGCCCTTTGAACGGGGGAGGGAAAAAGTGGCTTGTGGAAAACAAATGCTGATCGTTTTCTTGAGTGCAGCTCTTCTAAGGATTATCTCAATGGATAATTCTCGTGCACTTTCACCAACTGGCTCCCTTTTCATTTTTCTGAAGGCTACATGCATCTACAGGAGCGCCGCCAGCTTTTTTGCCGCCCTAGGCGGCGGAAGGTCCCGCCCCCTAAATGCCACCCCGACAGACGCGGCGGAAGGTCCCGCCCCCGAAATGCCACCCCCGACAGAGGCAGTGGAAGGTCCCGCCCCCGAAATGCCACCCCCGACAGAGGCGGCGGAAGGTCCCGCCCCCGAAATGCCGCCCCCGACAGAGGCAGTGGAAGGTCCCGCCCCCAAAATGCCGCCCCCGATGGAGGCGGCGGAATGTCTGGCCACCACGGTTGTCGCCTCCCAAATGTTAGTGTCCTAGGCGACCGCCTAGGTCGCCTAATGGGTTGCGCCCGCCCTGTGCATCTACTCCCATGATCTTCTCGGTGGATCTGTATGGTTAGCTGCCTTTCAGGCTCTGCCGTGCGTGGCTATAGTGTGGGAGTTTGCGTGAGACAACAAGTATATGCAGTTTCCTGGTGGACATTTATTTTTATTCCCTGCATACTGGCTGGCAGTGTACAGCTCTCTGCCTGCCTAACCCCCTGGATCAATTCATTCACTGTACAGTGCTGTACAATGCCTATGTGACTCTTCATTGCTACAAGAGGGGTTGTTTGGGGTTACTCACAAACCAAGATTTCCCTAGCAAATGACCTAAAGCTTCTTCCTCCCCACCCCCATCCCTCCCAAACTGCCTCAAGGTTTTTACAAGACAAAAATACTTTGGAATTGCTAATTGGGGGCTTTTTGCTTTTTCTCTGAAACCACTAACCTCACCAACCTCATGAACTTCCCGGTTCCACTTGAGATGGAGGTGTTTTTAGGACACCACAGTAAAATTGCCATCTGATTTCAGTGACTTAGCCACAGAGCCGGCTTATGCTTTATGAAACTCAAACTTACTTCCTGGGTAAATGAAATCTCTGCAGTTTGCAACAAGTTCTTATAGGCTCATTTATAGGCACTTGGTCTTTATCACATTTCTTCTCTCTGCAAGGCTGAATTCCTCCAAAAAAAGTGGCTTCTTTTTCTACATAACATCATCAACATGAGAAACTCTGGGGGAAAGTGTAGACCATTTTAAAGAAGTCTGATTCACTGAAATAACTTTTCCAGTTCTGCCTCCAGCCTTATACATAGTTAAACACCACTGCCTTAAATTTTAATGCCAAGACCTGTCCATCTACAAATATATGAGTTCTGCATGTCTGGAGAGAACTAGCTATGATAGCTCTCGTACATATCTATATCTAATCTGTCCATTTCCAGTGTTTCTAAGATGCCTGTCCTGGTGGTATCTTGGGGGTGAATATTTGAATTGTAGGTAATATAACTTACATTCCTTTGAGCTACAGAACCAAGATGCCTTTGTGGGGAATAAATCTTGATTTGCATTTACCAATCCCACTTTGTAATGAAGCAGCCTGGCACCAGATTGCAGTTTTAAAGAAAAATGGCAAATTGCATGCTGGGTAATCATTAGGCCACACCCATCACATGGTTTGTATCAGAGCTGGTCAGGAATTTTCCACTGAAATTTTTTTTCCCCCCAATGGAAAATTCAGTTTCCACAAAATCAAAATTTTCTGTGGAAAAAATTTAAGTTTGCCCAATTTTTTCAATTTTCCATTGGGAAAATTGAAATGAAATTGTCCGACATTCACTTGCTGCTTCCTAAGGTGCTGCGATGCTCCATGACAGTTGTAACCCAGGAGCTTCGTACTGGTCGCTAACTATGGGCTGGGCTCCTGGATCAGACTTATATCGCCCATTATGATCTCCACTTCCAACTTTTCCAAACTGGGATTTTTTCACAACTTTTAAGTCCATGAAAAATTTCAATATTTGGATTTTTTTGGTCCCAATTCAGGCTGAAAACACATCTCAAAATATCAGAATTTCGTAGAGGATGGGAATTCTGATTTTGACTTGAGTCTAGTTGCGATGATCTGATGGCCCTCACTCCGAATGCAGTCATAAACACCTTTAAACCAAGCGACTGCTGTATCCTCCAGAGAAAGGATCTCTTTTTGAATAATGCTTTGAGTCATGTTGCTTTGTTTATATTATTCTGGTTTGCTCCCAGCCTCTGGAAAGCTTACTGATGCAAACTGTACAGCGAGACTGCAGTGTCTAAGGTCACATTGATGATTTACTGAGTGTCTGCAAACAGCTTTCAACTGCTGTTCACCTTCCCCCACTTTGTTCTTTTTTTTTTAATAGTAAGGAGAAAATAATCATCTTCCATCATTGCAGCTGTTGCTCAATTACATAGTTATTTCTGACATGAAGATTATAGGATAATTATAGTTGAAGATACTATGATTTAACTAGATAACTAAGTATCAACATTTTATAAACTACAGGGAATTTTTTTTGCTCATATGGCAATATTTAGCCTTAATTGGAGACATAATTAACCAAGTAACTTCTAAACTACATAGTAACTATCAGAGAGAATTACGAAAGAATGCAAAAATTCCCTGCAAATAAAGTGACGCTGAATCTTTCTTTGCCTGGCTTTGATTTCTCCCATTAAATTCAAGACCTCATTTCAAGAGCTAAAGGAGGCTTCAAGAGGCACTTGAGATGCACAAATGATATGGTTTGGTTTGGTCTCAGCAGTTTGAGTTTTTCAAAATTGGGAGGGATAGAGATTTGAGCCACAACTGAACTGAACGTCCGAAGACTGTCAAATGTTGTAAAGATGGTTTGGCTTTTGCCCCTCACAAAATCCCATGTTAGTTGCTTTATTTTCATTATCCAGTGTAGAAATTTCACCATTTTCAAACCAAAGTACAAAAATACTCTTTTGCAATTACTTTATGTGAGTGTCAAAGAGGAATTTAGGTGTCAAAGGGATTGCTTAAAACAATGCTCCAGGGTCTAATACAAAAAAGACAAAGCATATTGCTCTAGAAATGGAATTCAGGTATTCTCTTTCAGAAGGTGCCAATACTTAGCATCTATTACAGGCTAATAGAGACAGCTACTGTGGGAACTGGGAGGGAAACTGGAAACTTTTAGCCTTTTTACTGTGGGAGAGGCTAGCTCTGGTAGGTTTAACTAATGGGGGAAGCAGAGGGGTTTTCATGTGGACTGATGACTTCTTTCTCTCACTCAGGCTGGGCTCTTCTGTCTTCTCGGCATCCAGGTCTGGGAAGGTTAATGGTAAAGACCTTAAGTCCATCTCGGTGCTGCAGACTATGCCCTGCCTCAGCATCCGAGGGGTCATGGGTAAGTCTTGAGGTAAAGTTAATTTCTGCATCTCCTAAGACAGAAATAGTTCATAAAAATGCATAATGAACACACAGGCCAACCTCAAGAAATACATTCTATCGCATGCATTTCTATAGCGTCCATCATTTCAGCCTGGGCGTGTATGTGTCAGGATTTTGTCTGAGGGCCTGATGATGGGTGGTTCTCTAATTACAGCCAATTTCAGGGTTGAATCTCTCTGGATTTAGTTTGAGACTAGTGAAATTATTTCTGTGGTTCCAATAATCTATGTACAAGCACCCAGAGACATTGTACTTGGTGTATTTTTAAAACTCATTCAATTAAACACCCCTCCCCCCCTTCCTCTCTGGGGACTCTACAGAACGGGAGAGAAACAACAAAAGTTGATACAACCAGATTCCTCCAGTGCATTTTGTAGGGATGAATATAGATGAGCCCAAATGGCTCCTCTCCTCACCATCTCCACATCCGGAAACCCCAAACCTGTATATCCTAAACACAGGGGCATTTGGGGTGAGAAGTAACGTTCTCCCTGGCCATGGACACAGTCTTCCCTCCGCTTACAAGTGTAAATGGAATCTGGGGCCCATAGAACCTAGCAGCTCCATTTACGCCTGTGTTGATGCTGTCAGGATAATGTGTGGCCTTTAATAACTGTAGAGATGAATTTCTAAATATTCTGGCTAAGGGCCAGAATATTGCATTTCTAGGTGCCAGGTTTTACATCTGCCTTGCACATGTACTGACAAAAAACTGTGTGATACATGTGTTTTGAAAAATGCGTATTTCATATCTGTAATGACAAGTATTTCTGTTATAATACATACAAATGTATTAGGGGATGAAGCTCCTGGTTGGGAATTAAGATTTCTAATATTCGCTCTGTCGCTAACTCACTATGTGGCCTTGGGCAAATCACTTAACCTCTTTGTGCTTCAACTTTCCTATCCGTAAAATTGGGAACTACATTATTTATCTGTGTGCCTCGGAGGGTTATTTTGTGGATTAACTACTTGACATTTATACACCACTTAGCATGTACACACTGTTCATATTTGCAGAGTATAATTATATCATAAATATATTAAAGATCAGGAGGTGCTCAGATAGCATGATAATGGGGGCCAGACAGAGAGAGATTTCAAACATGAAAAAAATTATCTAAATTAAACAAGTATTGTAAGAAATCTCTGAAGGAATGAAGATTCTCTTTGAAAGGAGTGCAGCCAACTCAAATTTGACTCCACATTTAATTTTTGTACAAGCAAGTTTTTAACCCAAGCAAGGATCAAGAAAAATGTTCCCATGATATTTTCTTTTGAACAAATTCAAATATAAACTATTATTTTTACGAAATCAATATCACCCAGGCCTAGCTTGCAAACAGAAATCTGGAAGCGATGCTAAACAAAAGCGAAAGTGAGGCCATTCATTTTCATTTTCCAAGAAGTAAACAAACAGAAAATAAATAAAATAAAATAAAAAAATAGATTTTTAAAATTCTTTTCATTTTAATCTATGGTGTTGTTAGAAAGGTAGGTAGGTAGAGTGACTCTGCTATAGATTATGATTTTTAAGTTGATGTTAACCCATTAACAAACAGCTGGGTGATTTACTTACTTCCTTACTCCTTTTGTAGTGAAGTTTATGAAGAAACTATTAAACCTTACAGGAAAAGCCGCAAGGAAAATATAATGAAAACAGCCAGGAGTCATTGACTGGCTGATTCTGAAAATGCTGTTGGAATGGCTATTGGCAGGTGGGGCCTTGGCCACTGGGGGGCTGGTTTGTATTTAATGTAAAACTACCTGGAGGGAAGGACACTTACCGGGGTTGCTAGCGCATGAAAAGGTGAACAGAGTGTCCCAAACTGGTTGAATTTGTTAGCATTGATAGCCCCAAACACACGCCGACGGGCTTTCCTTCCTGTAATTCTTTTCACCAGGTCATTTTCCAGATGGTGTCTGAAAAGGCTCTGGCACTGAAAAGGGGAAAAAAAACCCTGGGTTGCAACGGCAATGATGCCATCACACTAATTTAAAGCCTATCTCCCTTTTCAGAATGAGGGAACATTGATTCACGTTGGAAACAACTAAATCCACCCCCAGAGCTGCCCTCTTCCTAAAGCTCAGAAGCAGAGGGCATCAATATCACTTAATGGAAATGCATGACAATGGTTTTATAACATCAATAGATCCCCTTCCCAAAGGAATGCTAATTACAGCTCAACTTCAGTGGCTAAAGCGTAAAACGGACACACTATTCTATGTATGATTATGTCCCCAAAACTCCAATATATGCCAGCCACTGGAGAGAAATAAACACAATGCCTGGCCCATGCCCCAAAGAGTTTACACTCCTATGCTCATATAGAGTCCCATGGGTTCCTGGTGGACATCTGCATGGAGCTCATTGTAGGATCCACCAAGCGAAGATGATAGATGAGATTGGAGAGGAGGGACAAGGAGACAACAGGATTCATGGGATTATAAAGCCAGAAGGATTCATTGTGATCATCTATTCTGATCTCCTATATATCACACACCATCTGAGTTGCTCAGTAAGGCATGGGCTATCTCAAAGATTCCACCACGTGTTTTTGGTTCTGTTTATTTTTCTTTTCCCTGCTCACTTCTCACATCCTTCCCAGCAGAAGTGAAATTTGAGGAGGGAATTGAACATGCTGAGGGACGTGGCAAGGTGACCTGGTTTTGGGAGGGTGTTCCCAGGTTCAGGGGACGCATTGAAGAAGGAAGAGACACATGGTGGTGGTTGCTGACTTTAGAGAAATTACGCAGTTTTCTTTCTTTCTTCCTGGTGGTGTGACTTTTAGTGACTGGCAGTTCTGGACTGATCGCCCTGGAGATGGTCATTTCTCTATATCCATAGAACAGCTATAGAAGAAGCGATACAAGCTTCCCCCACCCTGGCGCTTCAGCCATGGCCTGGAGAGAGCAGACCTCCAGGAGTGAAAGGACAGCTCTCAGTCTCCTTGGCCCATGTAATCCCTGGCCTTTTTACTGAGAATGCCAAGAAGATTGCAAATTAGTGCTAGTGGAGATATGTCCACTGGAAAATGGACTGAATTGACCCATCTCATTTCACAAAGGCTACAGAACAGGCTTTGGATGGGAGTAATTTCAGTCATTATGGATGTGGGCTAATTCCACTGCTTGCAATCCATTACAGTTGGAACAAACTACCAAGGGAAGTGGTGGATTCTCCATCTCTTCCAGTCTTCATATGAAGACTGGCTGCCTTTCTGCAAAATATGCATTAGTCAAATGGAAGTTATTGACCTCGGATATACGGGACATCAAATCAAATGATCGAATGGTCCCTTCTGGCCTTAAAATCTATGAATCACCAACCCTCTGTGCCACCCAAAAATTCACATTTTACAACGGCATTAACCACCTGAAGAAGAGGTACTGAAGAATACATAAGAATGGAGCATTTGTTATCAGACCTTGGAGATTACTTTTATCTGCATTTCCTTATTAAATATAGTTCAGCTTTGCTGCCTCACACAGGAATAAAACCTACTGGCTATTACTTTAAGAAACCATCCATTATTATTATTATTATTTAAAAAAAACCACCATTCAACAGTCTATTTGCTCTTGTGTTTGCAATAGATTGGATTGCTCTGCATAATCCGCAAACCGTTCCCTGTGCATGACTCTTTTTGGCTTGCCTATCTGAAGCGATCCCCAATGCTTTATCGCTTTGTGTGTCTTTTAATTAACCTGAGCTCATGGCAGATTCTCTTATCTTAAGCTGCAGGGTTTTACCCTTCAGTGGAATGGCAGAGTGTCAAGGTCAGAGATAGGCGAAAGATCTCACAGACTCACCTCGTGTTTCCTTTGATTTGAGGTACCGGTGAACGATTGTGGCGTAGTCAGGCGGCTTTGCACTGCATCCTCGGCAGAAATCTGGCTGGGGGATGTGGCTGGATGGGCACCATCCGCTCTTGGTAATTGGAACTCTGTAGAGAGAGAATAGGGTCAGCAGGTGGCACCGTATGGTAGAACATGTATCGTATTTCTTAAAGGCATGGGCAGTTCTGTCAGCTTCTTCTTTAGTAAAAAGCAACAGAGGGTCCTGTGGCACCTTTAAGACTAACAGAAGTATTGGGAGCATAAGCTTTCGTGGGTAAGAACCTCACTTCTTGTCTGAAGTATGCATCCGAAGAAGTGGGCTGTAGTCCACGAAAGCTTATGCTCTAATAAATCTGTTAGTCTCTAAGGTGCCACAAGTCCTCCTGTTCCCCCTGATACTTGACACCTTTCTTCTTTAGTGGAATCCCAGCAAAACAAGGCAATGGCCTAAAACGGAGCAGGGACCACACAACCCAAGTGCTAAATACCACATGACTCAGGAGAGGAATCACACCTCTTTATTATGTGGATTTAGCTTCCTAACACTGTCACGGCCTGATAAGCATCACCAGACCTTCGTTTTCCCATTTGACTCACTGGCTTCTGGAACACCTGTGTAATTGCCATAGGTGCGAAGACTCTGTGCGTGTTAATATTGCTTGAAGCACTTATCAACCTAACTAAAAAAGAACCAGACTGTCGAACGTGGAGTCACACTCGGCCGGGCTCGGTCAAAAATGACTTGGGCCTGTTAGTTCTTTGCATTCGAGCCAAATCGTAGCTTCATTATCAACAGCTGCCCCCTCCCATCTCAGCATCCTTCCTGGATTTGAAAAGTTTGCTGGTTTGAAAGCCTTTGTGGGCATTTACAGATGGAAAGGTTTGTTGCTGCAGCCAGGCTGCGGTGTGATGAGACCTCTTTGGAGCTCAGCGCACAGCACCTTTGCATGAGCAGCTGCTGAAGCGTGACGGGCAGAGCCGGCGCTCAGCTGGGAGACCAAGGAATGCAGGTGCCACAGGAAGCAGTGATGAAATGATTCAGTGAGTGTGTCTGATCTTTCTGAGGTGATGCTCATCCAACACTCCAGCATGGTTTGGGATCACTGCGGACAGAGGTCAGCAACAATTCCATTTCAGTCTTTGACAGAGGCGGGGTTTTGGCCTCTGTAGTCTGACAATTGCTTTCTGTCTATTTAAACAGCTGTTGCAACTGGGAAGCATGCTGCTTCCTTTCCTGTCCCAAACCATGCAAGGTGCTGTTTGCTGTGAAACAGATGCCGCATTTCAACCCAGAGCTGGCAGCACTTCAGTAATGCTTGAAGGGATTCCCGTGCAATTTGTCCGTCTGCTTTCGAAAGGGACAATAACGGATAGTTAAGGTCCGGTCCAAAAGAAATGTTTCCATGAATTATGCAAATTCCAGTTTGAATTCCCCCCCACCCTCAGGGATACATTTAAAACAACCCCCATCGCCTGTTTACAGCTGGGTAGAGCATGGCAAATACAACTGGCACAAATATTTTTGACAAAAATGTCAACGCCAAATCGTTTCATGGAGATACATTGATTTCAACTACATGTTTGACAGGAAGGCTTCAGAGGTCCAGGGCTCTCTGGTCCCATCTGACTAAATTGAGGGAGCGAGCAACTTGACTGGAAAAACCTGACCTTTTCTATCCACAATTCTGTTTCACAAAAACACATTTTGAAACCTCGAAAGTTGTCATGAAACTGAATCGGCCTCCTCCAGCCAGCTCGTGTGAGATGGTTAGAAACACAAATGAAAATCACACCGGTCTGTATTCATTGGACGCTCCCCTCAGCCCGGGCAAACAGCCAACAGCCCAGCCCACAAACCCTGACCCTCTGCTCAAGGGTTCACAGAGCCAGGATCCTAGGTCAGCGCATTACAGAAATAGGGCTAGAGATTTGAAATTTGAATATAAACCTGAACTGCCTTAAAGTTCATGAGGGGCTTGGAGGGGTGGGGGGAAAGAATCATACCCATGTCTAATAAGTTGGAAAAGTGCATGAAATTGTTAACATTCCGTCACCTTTAACAATCAATGGTTTATTAGAACATAGGGAAGGGTATTTGTTTTCCCCACGCACCTGCTATTTCACCTGGCAGTGCCCCTTTAAGCTTCTGAAGTCCTTTGGGATGAAACGTGCCAAATAAGTGCAAGACATTAATTAGTTTTATTAAAGATGATGATACAAAGACAAATATCTTCGGACTCTGCCAAGCCTCCTTCGGGAGGCCCCAGACTGACAGAGACTAAGCGAGGTATCGAACAGTCATTAAAGTTCAAACATTTGGAGTGTGGTAGGGAGAGAGACCATCTCTGCATCGCTGTGGGACAGACATTCACCTGCCCTTTCCATATAGGGTGGAGTCCCTGAGAGGAGAGAGCTTCTCTTCTCCCCTCCCCTGACTGCCCCTAGGCCCCCTCACCTTGCCTCATGAGACCTTAGGTCCAATCCTCTGGTGCGGCTTTTTTCCTCCTCCCCACCCCGCTTGTTGGATATGGTTCTAGATCTGTCCCTTCCCTTCCAGGGGATGGGGATTGGTTCGCTTCCTCCCCTCCTTCCTGGCCTGCAGTTTTACATTCTTGGCTTAAACCCCTTTCTTATGGATCCCTACTCTATGCAGCCTGCATCCCTCGCTAGGCTTCAGCATGCTTGTAACGTAGTTTGTAACAGGGCGTGGACGCTAGCCCTGCACCAATCCACTAGGTAGGGTGACCAGATCGGAAGTGTGACAAATCAGGATGAGGGTGGGGGGGTAATAGGTGCCTATATAAGAGAAAAACCTCAAATATTGGGACTGTCCCTATAAAATCAGGGCTCTAGTCACCCTAGCATTAGGCTGCAAGTGCATTTGAAGGTGGCTCCCAAACACAGGGCCTGATCCAAAGCCCACAGATGCCCATCCACTTCAGGGACTCAGAGCCCTGGTTAACAGCTCCAGGGTAGACAGAGCTTGAGACCCATGAAGGCGACAGGGAGCCCACTGCTGTCACTGGCAGGTTTGCAGGAGCAGGTTTCTAGCATGGGATCCTAGCATGGGTAGCTTTTGCTTTTGTTTCCCTCTCCGACCCGTAAGGGCTGAGAAGCAGACAAAGAGGCAGACACAGCAAGGTGACTTCAGAGGATGCCCAGGGAGGTCAGAGAGAATTCGTACAGCAGAGCATGTAAAACACTGGCAGCCTCTGATCAGCCAGGCAAGGTAGGATCTGGAAAGAGAATTATGCAGCCGTGTCTGTTTGAACGAGGGAATTCGCTATTTCCCCATTTCGTTCCTCGCCTCCAATACCTGTTAGTTTTAAACAATATGCTAGGCCGGGAAAAGGCATTCTTCAGCATCGCCGGGGCTCAGTGCTGTCTAGACTTCAAAACACAACAGTGCACGCCCTTCCTTGAACTCCTGCCACTGCCTCTCTCAACGTTTCCTAGACATGGAAGCTGAGAGCCCTTCGCTTTGCCAAAGTCTCAATCATGCTAACGAGCCCCTAGTTCCTGTAGCATCTGGCAATTGGTCCTGCTGAACTTACAGCAGGTGTTAGCAAAGTTCATTTCCAAAACCACATCCATCCGAAAAATTCAGCCTTCACTTCCCATTATGGAATGACAGCATCTCCCTTCAGGCTGACGGAGAGAGAGAGAGGAGCTTGGAGCAGGCCGTTCCTGGAGGCACGGCTTCCTAATAATTACGCTACGGGGGTAAGCTTTCTACTGGCGTATTACTGTCAGGGCAAATTGATGTCTAAATCCTGTCAGAAAGGAGATACCTCTTGTAGCTTGGAAGCGTGTCCTCTTTTCTATAAAACCAGCTATGTCCAGAGACCCGAGGTCGCAGCTGCCCTAAATAACCCTCTTTCTTGCTTATGTCCTTTCCAACTTCTTATCGGTATGTTGAGGGATCTGTGGTTCTACAAATCTGGTTACCCTTAAGTGAGTTTAGATTTCTCATGTACTGAGGTGTTTGTTTAGTTTAGGGTAGAGTTTCTCACATTAGCCTTTGACTCTGTGGGTTTTCATCACAAAGAATGGGACCTGGCTGTCTCTGAGTGCAGTCCAAGTGAGGAGAGTTTATAAGGAGAAGGCACAGGGTTTGCCTAACCCCACGATCTAAGTAACTCCTTAAAACCCTGTTTCAACCCCAGTCAGGCCCTCTCTGCATTCCTTATGATGTGGCTCAGCCTGGACCCGTTAGTGCTGATAGGAGGCATTTTCCAATTGCCTCTTGTTACCCCTACAGCGTGCGTCAGGTCCATGACACATCCAACCCCTGCAGGCTTTGGTTATGTGCTGGCGAATGGGTTTGCCTCACCACTGTTCTCTACTGGATGGACTGTCAGACCTGCTCCAGTATCAGATCATTTCACCCTCTGGCTATCTTAGGTACTTTATAGCCCTCATAGGACTTCACAGTTATTAATGGCTTTTATCTCACTACACTCTGTAAGGCAGGGAAATAATATGCTCAGTTTTAGAAACGGGGAACTGAGGCAAGCAGTAGGTTGAGTGACTTGCCCCATATGACACCGTGAGCCTGTAGCTGAACCAGGAATTGAACCTATTTCTTTTGAGTCTTAGTCCAGAACGCTAATTGCGAGGCCCTTCTTCCCTCTAGTGGCATGCCCCTAGGAGGGATAGAAGCAAAACTAACACTACAGGTCATTTAGCTCATGTAACAGAGGCTTATGTTTTTGGAGCTCAAGGTGTCAGTTGCCATGCAGTGTCCTGTGATTATTTTCAGAAGTGACTAGAGATTTTGAGTGTCTCAATTTTTGGGTGCCTAACTTGACACCCCTTAAAGGGGCCTGATTTCCAGAAGGTGGGTGTTCAGCACTTTCTAGAAACCAGGTCCCTTTAAGGTATATGAAACCGGGCAGCCCCAGATGGAGGCAACCAGAATCACTACTCACTTTAGAAACTTGAAGCCCCAACACCCCAAAATTTTGACCCAGAGAAAAACACACTCAGCAGAGACAATTTCTCAGGTGTTTGATCACGATGGAGCTGATTCCAGCCCCACAGCTCTGATCCGGCAGCTGGCAGCTCTAATCTGATAGGCTAGAAAAGTAACACAAATCAATGAAAAGCTCCACGTTAGGACTCCAACTGTCTGATGTAGATTTGACCGTGTGTGATAGATAATGTGTCTGCTTGAGCTGTAGCTTTAAAAAAAAAAACAAAGGTCACATGTGAATATGAAGGGTGTGTTCGTCTAATGGCAGGACACCGAACAGTAATTAAAACATTCAGCAAATGGGAACCGACCATCAAACACTTAAGTGGCCTAAGCCCATCTAATACAAAGAAGGCAGAAGGTGCACCTGCTAAGCAGAAAGGCAATAATCCTATTGCCTTCCATTCCACAGCACCTTCCATCTAATGAGCTGAAACCAGTCTCATTAATTCAGTTTCCCCCGCAAGGTGGGTTTTACACATGGGGATGCAGAGGCACAGCGTGTAAGTCATGCAGGAAATCTGTGGCAGAACCCGGGAATCCTGGCTCCACGTTTCCCGCGCTAGCGCCTATCCAGCCTGTCACCTGGTACTTAAGGGCTTGATCATGAGCACAGGAGGCAAAGGAAAGAGGCTCTAATTGCTCACTGTTCGAGCGGCTTGTGGATTTGGATAGGGAAACACATCCAGATATAAAATGTTGCAGTGCATTGTGAGCTCTCCAAAGCAGCAAGATGGCAGATTTCTCTGTCCTCCCAGACAGCTGGAACAGATTTTACATTTGACAAAAAAAGTCTGATCTATGGGCTTCCAAACAGCACTCTGGACAAAGCGCTTATGTGTGTTTTAACAAACATGTTCATGAAGGCAGGATTTGCGGCCAGCCCACTAAGAGTTGGCTGCAAATTGCTCCTAACTTGGACGGAAAAGTGCAGAAAATCGGTGTCCAGGCTAAACAAATCTGAGCACATGGACCCGTTCAGCCTTGAATCTCGGAAGCCGTTGACCGGCCAGTAGCTCCAGGTGGTCAGAATCTGCAGTCTTGCTGGTTGATTTCTATAGGGTCATTTCAATTCAGACCCCAAACGATGATGTGGGTGCTGTTCTGCACACCACTCTCAGTTAGATAACTGCACAGTTATTACCATCTTCATGCAGCACAGTGCCTGAAACTTCAGAGCAAGGCAAATCGACCCTTTTAGGTCCTTACCCAGCAAAGCACTTAAGCGCTTGCTTCATGCTAAGCATGTTCTTAAGTCCATCTCTATTCTGCACTGAAACATTGCTTAACTTTAAGAACAGACTTCAGTTCCCTTGACTTCAGTGGGTTTTAAACAGCTGCTTACGTGCTTTGCTGAGCTGGCACCTTCATGCATCTGACCTATTATGTAATACTATCCATAGATCTGGGATTTCCTTCCTGAGCCCCATGGTGATCAGGTGGCATGAAGCATGAAATTTAACTTCCCTGATCTGATCATGCATATGGCAATAATGGTAATCCAATTATCTAGCCTTTTAAAAATGCAGCCACACTATTTGACTTTCTGCTCCAGAAACGCAGAGTTCACAGTGAATATATTTCTGTTCATTTGGGAAGATCTGAAAGTATTTCCATGGTGGGCATTTGTTCAGTTTAATGTGTTCTAGGGGTCACTGTGTGTCCCCCCTCCACTCCTTGGCTAGGAATTTTCTGGGCAGTGTTGATTTTTTCCCTTAGTATGTTTTTAGTTAGCTTTTTTTGTTGTACCCAAAGACCTTTGGGTGTTGGCACCACATCATGAGAATATTTTATTATTATTTATCACAGTTATGAATGCGACTCTGTTTACTGCATGGCCCCTAATGATTTACACAAATTCCTGGAACCCATATTGTGCAAAGTGAACGGAAACCTCACAGCTGTGCATTCCTTCAGTGAAAAGTGCAGTCCGGTTCCAGTCTGTTTCTTAGCAATAAGTCAAGCCTGTGCAATCTATGGAACAGCTTGGCAGCCGCGTAAAACTGTCTGACTGTTAGAACAATTTGTTGCTCACTTATTCTGGGTCCTGCCCTGAAGTCCTGACTCCAGTAAACCCCCACCCCTCCATTTCCAATATTTGCCAATTGGCTTCACTGAGTTTTGACTGTGCGAAGACTTCAAGATTGGAGCCTTAGGAGCACTTCTGACGCTTTGAAAATGACAATTTTTTTTTTTTACTCAGCAATTGCAGAACATTCAGATCATTTTAAAGAGGAGACAAACAAGCAGCAGACTGGGATTTGGCTGAAGTAATGAATTCAGCTCTTCACAGCCTCACTAGGTCTACATTTCTCCCTGGAACCTAATTAAAATACTTTAATATCCATCTTTCAGCACCTTTTGTGAAGCGGGATGACAAACAATGAGTCACTCTATTTTATAATTACATAAATGTTAACTTATTTTAAAAGAGACACATTTGGGGCCAGATCCTAAACTTTCCATCTGGCTACTTTGGGCTGCGCAGACGGCACAGAACAGCCAGGAACCTGGTCTAGACGGGCAGTGGGGGATTCCCAAGGTATACAACAGCATCTCCCAAAGTGCAGGTTGTGCTGGACTAGCTGGGGGTGGAGAGCCATGAAGGTGTATGGAGTGACCTGGGTAGGTTGTAACAACGCATGGCATGGGTACAAGGGGATCAGTGGATTACATTTTTTCCTGAAAGGGGAGGGAATTAGCCTTCAAAAGTCTGAGATATGCTGGCATGGGGAAAAGGCAACATAGCGGGAATGGGGAACAGATGGGAGGAGGACCTAGAGTGGAATGTACTGCGTTCCAGCTGATCCTCACCTGTGCAATGGCCGTAAGGGCTCAGAACAAACCAGCCTGTCCAAGAGTGGCCCTTAGGCTGTTTTAACTTGTACTGGGGGCTGGTTTCACCCCTGGCTGCCCCCAGAAATGGGGAAGGTGTATTGCAGCCATCTTTGCCCCCTGCTCTGTCAGTTGCACAGAGAGTATGGTGTGAGGTCTCACTGTCCTCCCAGAAGAGCAGAAGTTAAGGGCTAACTCTTGAGAAATGCTCCTGATTCTTAAGGCGGGCCCCATTGCGGGCAAACACTTACCCTGCAGTTGCTCTCTCTCCTCCATTGTGCTTCCCCCATTGATCTCCTGGTTTACCTTCTCTTCTGTCTCTCCCTCCACATTTCTGACAAGCTCCCCTGAACTGAAGAGCCGCCCATCAGTATATGCCGGCTGCTTGATTGGCGTTCGTTTTTTCTTGATTTCTTTTCTCTCACTCCAGGGGTCCCTGATAAAAAAGAAAAAAAAAAAAGGAAAATAAAAAGATGCTATTGCTAGAGTGGGTTAAATATCTGTAACCAAACCTGGGACTGATCATCACAGGCAGCCAGAGAAAACGTGAAACCCAAACCCTAATGGATCAGACTCATCTGACCTACAAAGGATGTGGGGAGCTCCATTACAGGAGGTGTTGGGAACAGGAAGCTACTGTTGAGAATAATCTTGGATTGCGAAGGGGGTTGGATTACACCACTTTACTTGATGGCCTTTTCCAGCTATGATTTCTCTGATTCACACCACGGTCATATTAACCCTGTTTCTACAGAAGGAAAAGACAATGCTCTGGTTGACTTAAGTAGTGGTAGATGCCATAAAGAACATGGAAAGAACTGCCTCACGTGTTATTCCATATGGTAATAAGATATCTGGCCATATTGGCAGGGATCCGTAAAGGCAGAGCTGTGTGAAAAGGGGAAAAGTATCACCCCACCTGCTATATCAGCCCAGGTCATTTCCCGGCCTGAAAAGTTCACTTTTCATTAAACGCATTGAAACTTGGAAAATTCAGCGCAGTTTGACACAAAAATTCATCTTCACTAGAATGAAACTTCACATGCCCAAAACCAGTGGGTTTGCTCAAAGATACTATTGCGCAGAAATCCACGACATTCCCCCCCGCTCCCCATCTGGACCAGTTCCATGAAATCAAAACCGAATGTGAAAACCTCAAATATTGCGTATGTCACTGCAAATATATCACATGGCCGTACGTAGCCCGGTGGCCAACGTAGGAACACTACAGAAGTAGAAATTCAACAGTGTAAGCTCGGAAGAGGTTAAAGCCACGACAGAAGACAGTCCCAGCTCAATAATACATTGGATTTATTGGTTGAATTTTATGGACTCTAGTCAGATAACGATGCCTTTGAACAACAGTAGCAATGCTTGAGCTGCGGAGTCCAACCTTGACCTGACAGTAGTTTCAAAACCGGCCTATTAACTGCAATGGTGTGATACTTGGTTTATACCTAAGTTTACCAAATGCCTTCTCTTTATATTGCACTTTTGTCTCAGCTTGTGGTTGCAAAGCCAGTAGAGGTGACTTACCTGCACTCCCCCACGCCACCCAGTCGCAACAAACGGCAAGGCGAGAACAAAACAGAAGTGCTTTCCCACAGGAAGTGGGCCAATTCAAGGGGAGCTGAACAAGCTAGACTTTCTGGAGTTTGTTCGGTTGAGAAGATGGGTAACTTCTACTAAGAACGTCTTCGTGAGAGAATAAGCTCAAACCAGACTGTTCTCGCTATGTAATATTCACTTCTGTCCGAAGCTGTCCACTGCGATTATAGGTAGCAAATAAAATAGACTAAGGTAATGTATGGCCACTCGTTTCTCTTCTGAAAAGGAAATTCCTCGGGCCAGATTCATTACAATGGCATAAGCAGGCACAGCTCCACTGAAGGCCATTGCGTTGAGCCAACTTAAGTCAGCCCAGAGTCCAAAGCTTTGTGACAGCCTGGAAGCCATGACAGGATCAGACACTTCATCCATTCCCACGGCTCTGAAAGAATTCAGATTCTCCATCTAATAGTCATACACAGCCGGCTAAATGACTATACTTGCTGGGAGAGGCAAGTTGGCATAATACTCCTGAGCCCAGCATGACTCCATGGGTGGTTAGCTTGGTCCCCGGCCAAAGCAATGAAATTGGAAGGAAGTATGTGGCTTCTCTTTGGTACTTTGTGGTTTGACCATCTGCAGGGAGCTTGAGTAGGCGAGCATCTCTCTCTTTCTGCCCACCCCCCCCTCACAGCAGACCAACAGCCAAGGAGCAGTGATAGTCTCTATCGCTATAATAAATGACACTTCTATAGAGCTTGCCAACCGAGGATCTCAAAGCACTGGCAAGCCTGCACTTGGAACACTGCATTCAGCTCCGGCACCTCAGTAACAGAAGATGTAGAGGAAAGAACAACAGCAAAATGATTGCTGGATTGGAGGGGCTGGTTTATGGGGGATGAGATAATCATCTATAGTATCAGAGGTGTGCAAAGGATGGAGACGAATGGAGGGCATAATTATGGGTAATGGGATGAAGGTAAGAAAAGGAGCATTGACGATATCAGGGGAGTCTTTCTGGCAGTGAGATTTCTGAAATAGTGAAAGAGTCTTTCATTGGGCGTGGCAGAGGCCTCCTCAAGTGGCAGGCAATTTTAATCTAGGAAATAGGTCTACACCAGCAGGAGAGGCACTGGACAAGTGAGATGAGTGTTGAATCTCTAATTTCTGTGATTAATGTGGAGATCATCATTAGGGGTTACAATCAGGGAAAACTTTTTAAAATCAGTGTTTCCATTAGATGCCTATTTTTCTAGGGTAACCCATACCTTCCCTCCCATCTCCCCCAACTTTTGCTTTGGCCTGAAACGTACTCGTACATGACCAGAGAGAAATGTTTGCTGAATACAGTTGAGGAGGGTGGGGAGGGAAAAGTACATTCATGTCATTTTTAAGATGCAAGATTACAAAAGGCTAAAAAATAGATGTTTGTGGTTTCTGAAGCCATTTGGCATTCCTGGGTGGGAGTTGATGAGGCTCTGGGTTTTTGTTATTATTTAGACACCCTTACATTTTGCAGGGCTATTTCTCTTCAGTGTGGGTACGTGTGGGTAGTAAAGCAGAGGGTATTTTGGGGAAAAAAAACAAAGTTAAAAATGGCCTGGTTATCGAGTTTAGAAAAGTGCTCATTGCATGTGCAACCACTTGCTTTGTTTTTTTAAAAAGAGCTCAAATTTGCTGTAGATTTTGAGGATGTGGACATGCAATACCAAAACGCAATGAAATATATACGGGAAAACAACTGAAGCACGCTCCTCTTGAGCTGAGATCCCGAAGAATATATTTCATACTTCATTATGCATTTCCTGATTTATGTTAGCTTGTATCTTGTACTGTGTGAACACGGGGAGTGTGGGTTTGTACAAGAGTCAGCTAAACCTTCTGGTGGGCTCAGGTTGGATTGTTTCAAGGTTGAGATAAAGGTCCACACAAAGAACTCTCTGCTGAATTCATTGAACTCTTAAACTCATAGAGCAGTGTTGATCCAATATGCTGTGCTCTGATGGTCACCATATAAATTTTAGTAACTGTTGCACCAAATTCAATTCTTGTGGGTATCTAGTTATACTTTGAACCTCATCAGCAGCACTAAGGAGTCCCACTAAATCCTGCATGCTCAGAAGAGAATCCTATTCCCTAGCATCAAGGGTTAAGCGGCTTTTGACCTCTCTGTTTTTGTCCCTATTAGTGCCCAGCATACTCCTAATCTATCCTAGGACAATTAGTGTGGATCTTATTCTTCCTGATTCAGGCTATGTCTACACTACCGCAGGATCGACACTGCTGCGATCGATGCACCGGGGGGGTCAATTTAGCGGGTTTAGTGAAGACCCGCTAAATCGACGGCAGACTCCAGTACTCCAACAGGAACGAGAGGAGGAAGGTAGATTGATGGGAGAGCATCTCCTGTCGACCCAGCATGGTGTAGACACCACAGTAAGTCGACCTAAGCTACGTTGACTCCAACTACGTTATTCCCGTAGCTGGAGTAGCGTAACTTAGGTTGACTTACCGCAGTAGCGTAGACAGTGTTGACTCAATGTCAGTCCAGTAAGTCAAGAATTATTTCACTTCTTTCTCCCAGCATCGGACAATTAAACACTATCTTCTCGAACAGTAACAGTCAACGGCTCAAGTTGTGGGCTCAGTTACACGGGTGTGAAAATCCAGAGTGACTCTGCTAATTTCAGTCGGATCACTCTGGATTTACATCCGTGTAACTGAGAGTAGTGTTTGGGCCACAGTTTTCAGGTCACAGACAAAACTTAGAGAGAAACAGTCACTCCATCAGATTTTGTAAGAGAAATAAATAACTACTATTCATTCTCCCAGTAGCACTGCCATGCTGTGTGACAGTTTCCTGAAGGAGATATTCTTATGGCTGCAGAAGTTTGCGCTCAGATGCTGGACAAATCTCTCTTGATCAGAGGTGACACAGTTATAAGAGATGCACATTCTTTACTTGCCAGGTTCATGCACTTACTAACTATTGACTCTCAGGTAGTCTCTGATCTGAACGTCTCAAAACACACAAACATTACAATTTCCTTTTTCCTAGTCCCAAAGTACATACTGACTTGTCTAATAAGTGCATCCCATTTGATATTCTCTTTACCCATTACTTCTTTAAAATGGAAGAAAAAGGACTTCTGTTAAATTTCCAATTAACCCTCTTTGGTCAACGAATGCTTCCTTGTAAAACCTTAATATCGCTAGTTTTCCTCTCGGGTTAATTAATATTTGATTAGTCATCTGGAAAGGTCATGGATGTTTATCAATAATATCAGTGAGATGATTGTCTTCCAAAAATTATAGTATCTGTAGAATAATTAGGCCTTCTTAATATCAGCTAGACACAGATCTTTATTTACTCTTTTGAGGTGAGTGGAAATTAATTTTGTTTGGCTATGAAAGAATTAATCCCAACTCACAGGGTAGGTTTGTCCAAAGCTCCTTTGGTATCATTTTTTCTATCTGACTTTTCCTTTGTGAACACAATGCTTTTTTTTCTGGGTGAAACAATTGGATTTGTGGAAAGAAACTGGAAGAACTTAGTACAATAGGCCTGACTTTGGTGAACATTGTTGATCTGAATCCTCTGCTGCTTTTGGGGACTGGAGGGAGATTGAAAAATCTGGAACTTTAGGAAACACTGTTTAGAACTTTGGCTATTAAGAAAAGCTGGACTCAAGTAAGTTACAAAGCATCTGATAACCTTTTCAGAGCTCCCGTCTGCTTCAAATGAACAGTGTTTATTCGCTTCACCTCTAGTTCTAGCCCAGTGTAATCAGTTGACAAATCTTCAGCGACTTTAGTTGGGAGCACATTTGAAAGGTACGGGTCTGTTGCTTGCACATGCAAAATTTTCAAAAAAGATTTACTTTTGCTACTTCCTCGCACGTTCCTCCCAGTTGCTGGTTTACTGAACATACCCTGTACAAGGACTAGATTTATAGAGCATCTGCCTTGCCTTTGGAGAAGATTCTGAATGTAGATTATTCCAGGAATCAGCAACAGAAATACTGTAGGGGGCCATAGTTTCTTGGGCAAGGCCGGCAGGGGGCATGCAGTTGAAACAAGAATTACTGAGGTGACTCAGTATGGGAATTCCAGAGAGAATTTTAAATCAAAAGCACAAATCCGTAAAGCTTCGCAATGATGGCTTTTTCCCCATGCTGGACTCAGGTGCCTTTCAGCCAGCATGCAGCCCGTGGGTGTGTCTGTACTGAGCTTCTCCGGCAAACATTTCCCTCTGCAGCTAACACAGCTGCAGCTCCTTTCTTGTAGAGAGCCTTACTATGTGCATGGCCCCCACAGCCATTGGTGTTTTGAATGCAGTGTCATTTTGACTTGCTCTGAGAGCAGACTTCTTGTTAAAAATACCACCTTGCCAGGGCTTCCACTTCAGTTAACACGAGGGGAATGGCACGGATGTGAGCAACAGTGGGAAATTTTTGCCCCCACAAAACCCTTTGTGTAGACGGCTCGTGAGCATCAGCAGCAGTAGGAGAAGAGTAAAGGGTGTCAGGGGAGATGCTTTCAGGGGGACAAGTGTTGCCAATGCTCACGATTGATTTCATGATTTTTCTTTGTTTCCCCCAAAGCACCAGCTCCTGGAGTCATATGATTACATAATAATCTCATCTTCCATTAAAAAACAGTAAGTTTCTAGTCCTCGTGGTTGAGGAGAAAAGGTTGAAAATGTGAACCTTTAAAGGCGCCAGTACAAAAAGGCAAATTGAAAGAACCCCGAATGTATCATTTTAATAATCTCAAGGTTTTTAGGTCAAGCTCATGATTGGAGAGAGAGGGGAGAGTAAGATTAACTCAACTGAGTTTAACTGACACTGTGGGATCAAGCTGATGAAAAAGGATTTTCTCACCTACCCTAAAAAGCAACAGAGGGTCCTGTGGCACCTTTGAGACTAACAGAAGTATTGGGAGCATAAGCTTTCGTGGGTAAGAACCTCACTTCTTCAGATTATGCTTATGCTCCCAATACTTCTGTTAGTCTCAAAGGTGCCACAGGACCCTCTGTTGCTTTTTACAGATTCAGACTAACACGGCTACCCCTCTGATACTTGTCACCTACCCTAGTAGAGCTCTCCTCAGCAGGTCATCACATCTGCAGAGCATCCTCTCATTTTCTGGCTTATTTAAGCAGGAGATTTTCTGTATTAATCTTCTCATAGCTCTCCCACACTCCCCAGGATGTGCTGTGGCTACATCCTAGAACCTTAGTTAGGCAGGCATTCTAACACCTTTGATATGTAGGCTAATTAACAAAACTATTGTTAACCCCCACTCCTACTGCACACCCCTAATTGTCACCTACCACCCCACACTGAAACCCATACGGGGTATCATTAAACAATTACAATCCTTTCTCAATAGGGACCCCATCTGGAAAGAAATATTTCCGGAACCCTTTCTTCTGGCCTTCAAACAATCCCCCAACCTCACCAAGCTCATCATCAGAAGCAAACTCCCCACAGACCCACCAACGCAAAGGGGCACCGGACCCTGCCAGAACAACACATGCAAAACCCACTGCTGCAATGATCGACATTCCCCCACAACACACCTTTCCGGATTCCTGGGTCCTACACTTGCCTATCACAATACATGGCGTACTCATCCAGTGCACAAATGCCCCAGTAACAACTATGTGGGCGAACCCAGACAATCACAACGCTCTCGAATGAACTCACACAGAAAAATGATAAAAGACAAAAACATCCTGTCGCCCATGGGCCAATGCTTTCCTCAAAATGAGCAATCCCTCTCTGACCTCAGTCCTTGTCCTCAAAGGAAACCTGCACAACGCCTTCGAAAGACGAGCCGGGGAGCTTAAATTCAATCTTCGTTAGATGCTAAAAATCAGTTGTAATAAAGACACTGGATTTATGGCTTATTCTGACACTCCTTTTGGTCAGATGACTGCAGGGTGGTAATGGGCCATGTCACCTTGAACAACTCCTTTAGAATATGTGTTAACCACTTATGCGAAACAATCTGTTCCATCTTGTGTTCAGTCAGCTCTGACACTCTGAGTCCCTTCCCCAGACCTGAGGAAGAGCTGAGTGTATCTTGGAAGCTCGTCTCTTTCACCAACAGAAATTAGTCCAATAAAAAATATTACCTCACCCACCTTGTCTCTCTAATATCAAAACCATCCCACACTTGCCAAGCCTACCATAGCTGTTATACAGACTCTATGTGCATCACAGCTCGAACAGCCTTAACATTAAAATTAAAGCATTTTCATACGCCTTAGCACATGATATATAATTTAATCTTGCACCAGGCCAGTGGTTACAGGTCAACAGTGATGAAGAAGGGAGGAGAGAACTTTATCATTTTGCATCTATGATACAGGAAGGGTGCTGGGGAGAAGATCCCAAGAGATGGGAAGGATCATCTGGAGCCAAAAAGGATGAGCCCTAATGCCACCCCAGGCACCCACGGGGATGAGATTACATAAGAATTTACATAGAATAGAAGCAAAAAGGCTCTTAGCAACTTGCACCTTCATCCCCTGTAGCTGCCCAAACTCTCCTTTAATCCCTTAATGGGAAGCACCCCAGCCAGACCTGCCCAGCTGACAAACCAGCCCCTCCCACAATCGGTATTGGGCCCGTTAGCCAAGGCTAACTGAGTTCCCCACACATATGACTTAGTACAGACTCCACAAATCCCAGGGCCAGCCTTGCCCTTTAGACTGTCCAGGTCAGTATCGATTTGAATTTCTTGCTAGGCAAGCATTGGTTGTGACAATGAGATGCCCTGGGGGCAGAGGAGGGGTAACATGTTCTCAGAAATTCATCACAGAAGTAGCTTTAGAAGTGATCCAGGTCTGGAAACTTACTTGGGGTGGGCGAATGTTGATGGATTTTTCAAGTCCCATCTCTTTTCCTGCCCAAAGGTTCCCACAAATTTCCCGTCTGGGGTCCACAGTCTGGCGCTTCTGTCCGAGGAGCTGCTCAGAATGAATGAATCTGAACCGAACATGAAGTGCTCGACACTCACCACAGTGCTGTTATGGGCTCTCCAGCTACACAGTAAGGGAGGCTTTTCCAGAGAGCCCTGGAACAATGGACACAAGAGAAAGAGACTCAGGTAGTTGGCCACTAATCACAACCATAAAAAAATCCCAACAGAGAAAGCAGAATCCACATCACACGAATAGAACCTAGGCTGTGGGACTGATCCAGGTCAATAAGGCTTCAGGTAAGAAGTGGGGTTATTCATGTGAGTGATGCATTTCCTTGGGTCTGACCTACCTTAGATAAAGGGGGAGGAGTTGTATAACAGATTTTTTTCTGTATTTTATCATCCTAAAACCATCAGCACAAAAACCATCCTGTATTCATTCCTGGCTAATTATCAGGAAGAGATTCAGCCTTTGCCCTTGTGTCCGATATACTTGGCATGGATTAACGAAACATTTCACACCCAATCTCATCATCTAATTAGAAAAGGAAGACAGGAAAAACTGAATGCTCCCAGCGGCTAATATGAATTTCCAAAGCAGTGACCAGTCCCTGCTTCCAGAATGAATCTCCTCATTACCTTTAAAAATGGAGAATAATGAGCCCAATCTTTTGTCCTTATTCAGGCGAGACTGCCTTGGGCTTAATTAGGATGAGTGAGGGAGACAAGGGTGAAGTTAAAAAGCGAACACATGGACAGCCGCACCATTGGGACATGTACACAGTGAACCTGAAGTAACTGATCTCAGCATGGTAACCCTCCAACCCTCCAACTGCCCTTCCCACCTTTCTCCTCTCTGCTATTAGTTGACTTCACGTATGGGATCAGGAATTTGTTCTGTAAAACACCTAGCGCACTGTATGTATTGTATGTACTGTATACATCATTGTTAATAACACTATGTGACTGGCTCCGTGGAATACTCCAGCTGTGGTGTTAGTAAGATGCTTATCGCTCCAAGTAACTTGTTTACTTAGCAGGCTGGATAATTGTATCGCTTGCTTTCTGCACGTGCCGTGTCGATAAGCCCCAGCATTGGAGATTTGTCAGGGAAGCAGTCCCGGTGCTCAGCTCATGTTATTAGCTGAGTCAGCAAGAGAGGAGCACATTAGAGGCTGAGCTGAACTAATTTTATTTTTTTGCAGGCAACATGGCCTTTTGTCTCTCCGATTTTCTCCATAAAGGTTTTTTAAATCATGGAGTCCATCCAAAGAAATCAACGGTCTTTGCTTTCCTGCCAGAGACGTAGAGTGAATGTAGCAGACATATTTGGGGGGATGCCTGAAGGCCATATTTAAGATGGTGATGCTACAAACTACCATGGCCAAAGTTCATGCTTACAAACTAGAAGTTCAGGGAAACCCCAAGAGTTCCTGTTCAGGAAGAATGGACTGGTGGTTAGAGCATTAGCTTGGGAAACTCAGGACCAATTCCCTGCTTCAACAATGTCTTCCTGTGGGAGCCTGGGCAAGTCTCTCTGTGTCTCAGTTCCCCCTCTGTAAAATGGTTCTCTGGTAACGGGAGCCATATGGCTTAGATGTACTGAGCTTTCCCCACCGATCCCTTTGGCCAGTGGAGCTGTCCTGATCTCACATATTTACATACATATATATAGAGAGAGGCCTCTAATCTGCAGTTCTGTATCAATAGTCAGTAGGACTGACAAGCTAATTGGGGAAGAACAGCAACCACAGAGCTCTAAGGCCTCGAAATGTGAGGGCTAGAATAGTAATGTGTTCCTTACGTTATTCATGGGTGATGAAGGGTTAGAACATGCTGAGAACATCTTGGTGGTTTGGGAACATTAACCACCTGGCGAAACGTTTGAGTAGATTCATAGAGTCCAAGGCCAGAAGGAACCATTGTGGTCATCTAGTCTGACCTCCAGTCTAATGCAGGCCAGAGAACTTCCTCACAGTAATTCCTAGAGCAGATCTCGAAGGAAAAACACCTAATCTTGATTTAAAAATGGTCAGTGATGGAGAATTCACCACCATCCTTGGTAAATTGTGAATGACTCTCACCACTAACAAACAATAGTTCCTACCAGGCTTTCTGGGTGATGGCTAGATGGTCCAGAGGCTTGCTGAACAATAGGACTGATAAATGACAGGGGGTAACTATAACTAAACCCTTCCCATGATGCTCCTGGCAGCAGCTTACTTCACTTCAGAGTCTGGTCTCGTGATTCCAAACCAATGGATAACTCTCAAGCTACTGTAGCTACTATTGGTTGTCACTGAAACTTCTGGAACTTTTCTTCCAGACTTCTGTGAAGTCACCAACTCACGGTCAGGCTTCTCTTATTCAGACACCACGGCACAAAAATATCCGTGTCCTGACCTGTGGGAAGGGCTTAGCCACATGAAATGGTGGTAGTAGCCGGATGGGCTGGGCATGTGTGTGCTTGAAAGTGTGCATGGGTTAAGACCTGAGGGATCTTAAACACAAAGTAGATGACCTCCTGAGGTCCCTTCCAACTCTGATATTCTATGATCACATTTCCTCAAAGGGAGCCTCTGGTAACTCAGTGAATCACATCTAGTCGTAGGCAGGCTCTTTACTTAAATATTATTATTTATTGTGAACTGACAATGTCTTGTTGGGATGATGACGCTGAGCAAAACCAGAGGAAAAAGTGTTCCCTGCCCTAAGGATCTGACAGCCTAAATCAGACAGAAAATACAGCACACCTGTCAGACAGATGGCTAAACTTTCAAGGATGCGGATATTTTAGCAAATATATTGTAACAATTCCACGAGCACCAAAAACATTTGTCATTCTGCTGCACACCAGGGCTACTCAGAACTTCATGGCATCTGCGCTAGTGGCAACAGAATATCTGTTTTCCTGAAATTAAAAGCTCGGGTCTTTGCCAGCTGATGTACAGGTAAATCTCTGCAAACTGTGAGCAGTGTAGTTCCTATGACAAACAGCTGGGAAGTTCTGATCCCATCCAACAGTGTGTGTACACACACACACACACACACACACACACACACACACACACACACACACACTATACAAACTAAAACTAACT